ATGTAAAATTATATCCTTCTCAGAGTACAATACCTCTATCCCTAGAAAGTATACCAACTTTCCTAAGTAAGTTATTTCAAACTCATTCATTATAATCTTCTTGAACTTGACTACCTCTTCAAAACATCTACCTGTCAACAATATGTCATCAACATAGAGACACACCAGAATCATATTGCTTCCAGAATGTTGTACATAAACGCCATATTCCATCTCACATTTATGAAACCCCTTGCTTCTTAAAAAATGAACAATCTTCTAATTTCAAGCTCTGGGTGCTTGCTTTAATCCATCCCTTCCCGATTCTTCTTCACAAATCCAGGAGGTTGTGACACGTATACTTCTTATTGTAACAGACCGTTCAAAAATGCAGACTTCAAATCTAGATCAGGGGCCAATTTCTATTCGCAGCTATATCAATCACTAGTCTGATTATTTCATGTCTGGATACAGGCGCAAACACCTCAAAGTAACCTAGCCCATGTTTATGAAGAAAACCTCCAGCCATTCGCCTTGCTTTGTACTTTCTAATTGATCCATATGGCTTAAATTTTACCTTGAAAACCCATCTGACGCTGATGGCTTTCTTTTTGCTTGGAAGCTTAGTCAACTCCTAAGTCTTATTTCTTTCTATAGCCTCAAGTTATTCTTTCATGGCATTCAGTCATACTTTCTTCTTGAGAGCTTCTTCAATACCAATTGGTTCAGAATCCACTAACATGGCACATTGAACGACTTCTCCTTCGGAATCTACTTTAGTGCCTTGCAGCATATCAAACTCTACAAATCTTCTTGATATTTGTCTGATCCTTTGTGGCCTCTAAAATTATTCTACATATTCTACAGAACCTGGAACAACGTTAGCTTCTGTACTTAGTCCAGAACCACTACCTTCAGAAGTACCATCTTCAGAAACATGATCACCTCCAGAAGCTTGTCCTTCAGAACCAATGTCTTCAGATTTTCCCATCCAGAAACATTACCACCACCAGATTCAAGATCATTGTTAAAATCTGGATCAGAATCAGATTCACCATATGACTCATCTTCAGAGTCTCCAGAATCATCTTTTGACTCTGACTCTTCTTCAGAACTTTCAAGTTTTGACTCATCTTCAGAACCTTCTGAAGTATCTTCAGAAGTTACCTCTAGTGTTGATACTATACCAGAAATGGATTGAGACTTGCTCCAATTCTATGCTTCTAACTCTTTTACAATAACGTCTCTATTGAATTCAACTTTATTAGTTTCTGGATAATAAAGCTTGTACGCACTTGTACTATGGTACCCCACCGGTAACATCACTTTGCTTCTATCATCCATCTTTTGTCTTCTAGCTTCTAGAACATGTTTGTAACATACATAACCAAACACCTTCAGATGGCTAACACTTTGCTTGTCTCCAGTCCACTTCTCAAAAGGAATAATTTCTTTTAGCTTCTTTGTTGGACACCTTTTTAACACATATGTTGTGGTGGCAATGACTTCTCCCCACAAGGTGTGGGAGAGCTTCTTCTCTTTCAACATGTTTCTCTCCATATTAAATAAAGTACGATTTCTTCTTTCAGCAAGACCATTGTGTTAAGGAATATATGGAGCAATAACCTCATGCTCAATTCAATTCTCCTCACAGAACTTCTGGAATTTTGTAGAGTTATACTCACCTTCACCATCCGTTCTAAGAATTTTTAACTTCTTACGACTTTGTTTCTCAGCCTTCACCTTAAACTTCTGTAACTCAGTAAATACCTCATATTTAAATTTGATGAGTATTACCCACGTCATTCTTGTGAACTCATCTACAAAAGACATAAAATGCTTATTTCCTCCAAGTGAAGGTTCTGGAAATGGTCCACACACGTCAGAATGCTCCCAAAGCATTTTTTTCTCTTAGGGCTACTTCTGACACAAATGGCAATATGGGTTGCTTTTCTTTCATGCATACCTCACATGACTTCTCAGGCTTCACAATCTTCAGAATTTCACGCACGAGCTTATTAGAACTCAGATACCCTAAACTTATGCAGTTCAGATGCCCCAACCTCTTGTTCCACAGCTTACTATCACCTTCAGCGCCTTCTGCACTAAGACACTCTGTTTCAGGTTTTCTACATTCACCTTGAATGTTATGTTGCTTTCCTGTTCAAATTGTATAATCAACTTCTGATTGGAATCATACAACTTCAAGAGATTGTTCTTCATAATCACTGAGAAACCTTTCTCAATAAGCTGACTCACACTCATCAGATTGCTCTTAATTCCAGGAACATACCAAACATCCTTGATCAGAACAGTCTTCCCATTCTTTCTTTGACTCTGACATTTTCCATACCTTCTGCATTCAGGTACTTATCATCAGCATATTTGATCTTTGTCCTCCTTATGAAGTCAAAATATATCAGTCATTGTTTATTTCCAGTCAAGTGGTTTGAGCAGCCAATTTCCACATACCACCAGTCTACCAAACACCTACCATCAGACTTAGAAGCCATCAATAATACAGATTCATCATCAGAATCTCCTTTGGCTATATTTGCTTCTTCTGATTTTATTCCCTTGTTTGACCAACAATCTTTAGCAAAATAGCCAAACTGCTTGCAACAGTAACATTGGACCTTCTTCTTGTCAAACTTCTCACTTCTCTTCTGATGTTTCTTCTCATCATAAGTAGAGATTTCTTACATTTGGAATCTACTACCATGTCTCTTCTTAGTTTTTGACCAAGAATGCTTCTGGTCTTTCTTGACAAAAGAAGCTTTCAGAGCCTGCTCAACCTCCCTTTCAGAAGTTCTTTCAGTCAGACACAACTCTTACGCCTCTAGACTGCTTTGCAGCTCTTCTATTCTCATGGTGTCCAGATCTTTAGAATGTTCAATTTCTACAATAATGTAATCAAATTGAGGGGTAAGAGACCTCAATACCTTCTCTATGATTACTTCTTCAAAAAGGGTTTCATCATAAGTTTTCATCTAATTAGTAATCAGAATCACTCTAGAGAGGTACTCAGATACCTTCTCGCTGTCCTTCGCGTTGATATTCTCATACTGCTTTCGTAGAGACTGAAGCTTCACCTTCTTCACTGATGTGTCACCACTGTAACACATAACCAGTGTGTCCTATGCAGCCTTCACCGTCGTCAAATCAACGATTTTCTCAAACACGTTCACATCCACACACTGATGAAAGTAGAACAACGCCTTATGATATTTCTTCCTTTTGTCTCTCTGCGCTTACTATGTTCCTTCGTTGCATCCGCTGCAACTGGAACGTAACCTTCGGTAACAAGCTCAAGAACATCTTGAGCACCGAACAACACGCACATCTGAATCATCCAGCGGTTCCAGTTCTTGCCATCGAACACTGGAAGTTTGGTGCTCTGATTACCGTTTTCATTCATCTTCAACCCTGTGCAAGTTACTCAGATCTCACAAAACACAGTGTTTCTCAATTCTGCAGAATCAGAAAATGTGATTTTGTTCCGATTTTGTTCAAGATTCAACACGAATCTAAGACACAAAAATCAATCACACAACGCCTCACCATTTCACTTGTGTTTCTCGTGTTTCCCCTTGGATCTGAACCAGAGCTCTATATATCAATTATTAGGGCACAAGATGATGTAGACAAAAGGAATGAGAGAATAATATTTATTACTCTGCAATAATGACTATAAAGCTGTAAGAAAGATTAGAGTTGTTATATTAAATAACAACTACTAATAATCTATTTATACATAGAAAACTAGGATCACATACACAATATATTAAAATACTAATATTTTCCATTGTGTAAAATAATTAGTGTTACAAAAAAAAGTTACTTATTTTGTAAGTTATTTTTCTTTTACCATCAGAGCTTTTTTATATTAATGAATTTTAACTATGGTTTTTCGTAGATTAAAAAAGTCTAGTTATAGATATTACTTTCAACAATTCATAAACAAAATTTTACAAAAAGGAATCTAGAAAATAAAATAAAAAACCAAAAACTAACCGACTATATATAATTGATAATCTATTATAACAACTGAAAATTAGAAAGGTACATATAAAACATATACAACTTGTAGCATACCTGTAGTATCAGCACTATTATTACATCTTCTTCCGGAGTTACACTATTCTAAAATGTACACTGTAAGTCTCTTTTGTGACAACCATGTTGTCATTGTCTCTTATCCCGTGTTTCATGTATAAATAAAATATATTGAGATTGATTGTCACTTTATTCGTGAAAAGATCAAGTTTAGCAAGATTTTTACTTCTTTGACTGGTTCTAACGATCAACTAATCATATGTTTTCTCAAAATCTGTTAGAGGAGCCAATATCACTTACATATGTAACAAATTTGATGCATAAAATCTGTATGTTCCAGTGGTAGTGTTGAGATTGAGATATACATCTTATTTACAAGTTTTAACAGAAGATATGAGTTTGTACTTGTGGAGTCTCTTTAAAATTATATTAATATTTTGACAGAAAGATGACACAATTACAAACATCATTATTTAAGTGAAAGCCATGTTTGCATATGTTTGCTTTTAATAACAAAAAAACAAGAAAAATAGTGGTTATCATGAAACAAAATGAGGTCCACGAAACATGAAATGGACACTTGTTTAATTATGATATGCTAATGTCACATCCATTTAGAAGTGTTAATTTTGCAACGTGGTTTACTGCATAGATGTATCACTTTTTCCACTTTTTGTTCTCTTTTGACATAAGATGGATTTAAGATAAGTAACTTTTGTAGACAGCTTTACTATTTGAAACAAGAAAGAATAAAGTGAATAGCATCTAAAGGCAAGTTTGTATGAGTGGAAAAAGTGTATAGTGAGAATAGTTTCTTGAATTTCAGCACATTTTTGGAGTGTAATGTTGTGGGGTATAGCAATAGCATAGAAGTACACTAATAATAACAATGTGAGTGAGTTAGTGAATGAATAGGGAAAGATTAAGAAAGGTAAAGTTTGATTTGAAGAAGGAAAGGAAAGAAGATGGAACTAGAGGAGTTGGATTATGTGATGGTGCCTGTTGGTATATTGGTGTTGTTAATGTATCATGTTTGGCTTCTCTATACTATAATCCGCCAGCCATCTAGCACTGTTATTGGTTTGAATGCTCAAACTCGATATCAATGGATTCTTTTCATGATGTCTGTCAGTAATCCTTCTCTCTCTCTCTCTGATTGCTTGTATATTTGTAAGATGACATGTTGTGATGCCTTTAGGTATCTTGCACGTTAGTATTCATTGGATCGAGATCAGATCTAAACTGTCTGATCTCGATTCAACGCTCACTAATATGATGACTGTGTGAGACTCTTAAGTTTGAGTTTCATTTTCTTAGACATATATAACTTCTAAGTGCATGTTTGAATTGACAATGAATTTGAGATAATTACAATTTATCGCTTTGAATTAGTTTATGCCTTTATGGCAACAAAATCGCGGTGTTGAGGTTATTGTGGATCCAAATATGCACTAATGAAGTTGTTTTCATGATAATCTCTATTGTTTGGATCATAAGATGCTCTCTTTTGTTGTTTTCAGGATCCATTGAAAAATGGTGTTTTGGCGGTTCAAACAATTCGCAACAATATAATGGCGTCTACTCTTCTAGCTACAACAGCAATCACACTAAGTTCACTCATTGGAGTTTTTGCAAGCAATATTTCAGAAAGCAAACTAGTTTATGGCAACAATGTTGAGGACAGAAGTTAACACGTATTACTAGTTGTTAGTGGGTTTAGTGGGTGGTTTCTTTGATGTTAATAAAAGACCTATTCAATTGGTCTGTTAGCTTTATTTTCCTTTAAGTTAGCTTTCATTCCATATTTGTAGGAGTAGTGGTTACGTGGTATTTTTCCTCTTCCTGTAACTGATGTAAGGCTATATAATAGCCATTACTTCTCAACAATAAAATTAATCTTCTTTGCTTCAAACCTTATTCCATATATGTATCTTGTTTCTTAACATATGGTATCTAGAGCCTAGAATTTCTTTATACAGAGTGAGTGTTAGTGAGCCATACTTGCAAGCATGACTTCAGAAAATTCTTTTGTACAACCAGCAGTTCCTAAGTTCGATGGGTACTATGATCATTGGGCAATGCTCATGGAAAATTTTCTACGATCAAAAGAGTATTGGGGATTAATAGATGAAGGCATCCCTGAGACTGCAGTCGGAACAGTGTTGACAGATGCACAAAAGAAGCAGCAAAATGAGTTGCAACTCAAAGATTTGAAGGCCAAGAACTATCTTTTTCAAGCATTGGATCGTTCTATCTTGGAGACAATTCTCAAGAAGGATACCGCAAAGGATATTTGGGACTCCATGAAAATAAAGTATCAAGGGACGAATCGAGTCAAGCAGGCTCAATTGCAAACCCTACGCAAGGAATATGAAATTCTGCATATGAAGGAAGGAGAAACAATAACGACCCTCTTCTCTCGAATTCTTACAATCGTCAATAAGATGAAAGCCTGTGGTGAAAACAAAGATGACAGCGATGTTGTGAGTAAGATTTTGAGGTCGCTGACTCCAAAGTTCAACTATGTTGTATGTTCTATTGAGGAGTCAAACAACACAAATGCACTGACCATTGATGAACTTCAAAGCAAGTTGCTTCTACATGAACAGCGTATGTGTCCTTCTATTGAAGAAGAGCATGCTCTAGCTGTTACTTTTGGAGGTCGGGGACGTGGTCGTGGAGCTCGAGGTAGAGGTCGTGGTAGACAAAGTCGTGATCGATCAACCGTAGAATGCTACAAATGCCACAAGCTGGGACATTTCCAATGGGAATGTTTATCCAAGGAGAATGAGGCTCATTATGCTGAAAGTCAAGAAGAATTGCTACTCATGGCGCAGGTTGATATTACAACACACTCTTATGAAAATCAATGGTTCCTTGATTCAGGATGCAGCAATCACATGTGTGGTATGAAATCATCTTTCTCTGATCTTGATGAAAATTATCGTGACTCGGTTAAATTGGGGAACAATACTTCTATGGCTGTACTGGGCATGGGCAATATAAGGTTGCAAGTAAATGGTAGGGTGCATATCATTACTGGAGTTTTCTTTGTGCCTGAATTGAAGAACAACTTACTAAGCATTGGACAACTGCAAGCCAAAAACCTAACTATCATGTTTGAAGGTGGAAAATGCAAAGTATTTCATCCTGAAATAGGTCTCCTCATGGAAACAAAGATGGCTGCCAATCGAATGTTTATTCTAAATGCCGTGGCTCAACCTAAGTCTTCTACATGTTTTAACACTGTTGCTGAGGATGAATGGTATCTTTGGCATTGTCGGTACGGACATTTAGGTTTCAAGGGACTCCAAACTCTTGTTCAGAAAAAGATGGTGACTGCACTGCCCCACTTGAAGTATTCAACAAAGACATGCAAAGATTGTTTGGTTGGGAAGCAACATAGAGAGTCTTTCCCATCACATAGTACATGGAGAGCAGATCACATTCTACAATTGATTCACGCTGACATTTGTGGGCCAATTAAACCAGAATCCAACAGTGGAAAAAGGTATTTTCTCACTTTAACCGATGATTTCAGCCGCAAAACATGGGTTTATTTTTTGACTGCAAAATCAGAAGCTCTAGGTGTTTTCAAAAGTTTCCAGATTCACATTGAGAAACAAACTAGTCATGCTGTCAAAGGCCTACGCACAGATCGAGGAGGAGAGTTTACTTCTCACGAATTCATGCAACATTGTGCAGAGCATGGTATCCAACACCAATTGACAGCCGCATATTCTCCACAACAGAACGGCATTGCTGAAAGAAAGAATCGAACTATAATGAATCTTACTCGAAGCATGCTGTCCAACAAACAAATTCCTCGCACTTTTTGGCCGGAAGCTGTCAATTGGACTGTGCACATCTTAAATCGCAGTCCTACTCTTGCTGTAAGAAATAAAACCCCGGAAGAAGCCTGGAGTGGCATCAAACCTTCAGTTGAGTATTTTCGGGTTTTTGGTTGCATTGGCCATGTTCATGTTCCTGATGCTAAGCGAACCAAACTCGATAACAAGAGTTTTCCTTGTGTTTTACTTGGCGTCAGTGATGTATCCAAAGCATACCGACTATATGATCCAGTTTCCAAACGAATCATCATTAGTAGGGATGTCGTCTTTGAAGAAGATAAGGCTTGGAATTGGCACACCAATTCTGAATCTTCCACGGCGTATGAGTTAGAGTGGGAAGAAGAGAAAGATGTTGGCAGCAGCAGTTCTGAAATACCTGAGGCTGAAAATGCTGATCAAGTCGCTGACCATGATGAGCCTGAGCATCATACATCAGCCCCAGTTGATGCATCAACACGTTATCCAGTACGAGACCGCCGACAACCATATTGGATGAATGATTATGTTACTGGTGAAGATCTTTCCAATGAAGAACTTGTTGATTCTTTCTCTAACTTAGCCTTGTTTACGTGTGATGGTGATCCTACTTCTTTTGAGGAGGCTGTTAAAAGTGTCAAATGGCAGCAGGCAATGGATACTGAAATGGAATCCATAAAAAGGAATAATACGTGGGAATTGGTAGATTTGCCTAGTGGTGGAAAGATTGTTGGTCTCAAGTGGATTTACAAGACCAAGTACAATGAAGTTGGTCAGATTGACAAATACAAGGCCCGATTAGTAGCAAAAGGGTATACACAGCAACACGGCATCGACTATAATGAAGTGTTCGCTCCTGTAGCACGAATGGAAACCATTCGTCTAATTCTAGCATCTGCAGCACATTACAGTTGGCCTCTCTACCAACTTGATGTCAAGTCAGCATTTTTGTATGGCGAACTAGCAGAAGAGGTGTTTGTGGAACAGCCGTGTGGATATGTCAAGAAGGGGAATGAAGACAAGGTATACCGACTAAAGAAAGCTCTTTATGGCCTGAAGCAGGCCCCGCGAGCATGGTATAGTCGGATAGAAACACATTTTCTGAAGATGGGATTTAAAAAGTGTGATTATGAACACACTCTATTCATCAAAACAGACCAGGGAGGCAAGATCTTAATTGTGAGTATGTATGTTGATGATCTCATCTATACCGGTAATGATCCTTTAATGTTCACTTCTTTTATGAGTTCTATGAAGCAAGAATTTGATATGACAGATCTCGGTAAGATGCGATATTTCCTTGGTATTGAAATTCTGCAATTGCACAACAGTATTTTTATATCTCAAAAGAAATATGCTTTGGAGGTATTAAAACGCTTTGGCATGAATGACTCGAATTCTGTGCAAAATCCTATAGTACCAGGAATGAAGACCACAAAAGAAATTGGCAGTGATGAGAGGGTGAACAAGTCACATTATAAGCAACTTATTGGATGCCTCATGTATCTAACAACTGCTACACGGCCTGATTTGTCATACGTTGTCAGTCTCCTTAGCCGTTACATGGAGAATCCTTCGGTGAAACATATGTTGGTAGCAAAACGGGTATTACGCTATTTAAAGGGAACTGCTGATTTTGGAATTCTTTACAAAAAGGGTGGAGTAAATGAACTTGTGGCATACACAGACAGCGATTATGCAGGTGACGTAGATGATCGGAAAAGCACTTCCGGCTATGTTTTCATGCTTAGCTCTGGAGCAGTTTCATGGTGCTCAAAGAAACAACCTGTGGTTAGCTTATCCACCACAGAAGCTGAATTTATAGCTGCTGCTTCTTGTGCTTGTCAAGCAGTGTGGTTACAAAGGATACTATCAAATTTAAATCAGATTTCTGAGAGTAAAGGCATATCGGTTAACTGCGACAACAGTTCTACTATTAAGCTGTCTAAAAACCCAGTTTTGCATGGCCGCAGTAAACATATTGATGTCAGATTTCATTTTCTTCGCGAGATGTCCAAAGAAGGAATTGTAAGTTTGATTTATTGTGCTAGTCAAGAACAATTAGCAGATCTTATGACCAAACCATTGAAGCTGGGAGTATTCTTGAAGTTGCGAAAGTCTCTTGGTGTTTGCTCTGAAATTGAAGTAAACTGCAAACCAGAAGTTAAAATGAGAAGTTGCAGTTTAAGGGAGGATGTTGAGGACAGAAGTTAACACGTATTACTAGTTGTTAGTGGGTTTAGTGGGTGGTTTCTTTGATGTTAATAAAAGACCTATTCAATTGGTCTGTTAGCTTTATTTTCCTTTAAGTTAGCTTTCATTCCATATTTGTAGGAGTAGTGGTTACGTGGTATTTTTCCTCTTCCTGTAACTGATGTAAGGCTATATAATAGCCATTACTTCTCAACAATAAAATTAATCTTCTTTGCTTCAAACCTTATTCCATATATGTATCTTGTTTCTTAACAAACAAAACTTCTCTAAACTCATCGATAAAACGGCTTTCGATCTCTCTATGTTTCCTTATTGCATTTCTATGTAATATGCAATCTATAAGATACTATGCACATGTGAGTTTCTTAATCACTACACCAGCAATCAAAGGCAAAAAGGATTTCATTGAATACGTTGCGAGAACATTGAACCGCGGAAGCTATTCTTGGTCTCTTGGCTTAAGGGCTTTCTACTTGTCAATTCCTCTTGTTCTATGGATTTATGGTCCCATACCTATGTTTGTTTGTTCTTGCTTCACATCATTTCTTTTGTACTTCTTGGATACAACTACTCAGATCACAAGAGATCTTCACAATAAGTCCTTTAGAGAGAAGGAAAGTACTACTCAGGAAGTGGATGCAGCAGCATAGGTCCATTTTTATATATGTAATAACTGTTATTCAACTTGATAATAACTATTAACTATGATACTGTTAAGTGTTAAATGTATTTGAACACCTTCTTTGACATATAAGTTAGCATTTTGGAATTTAGATTCAAAGTTATTTAACATTTGCAATAGCTTGGTATCAAAATTGGATTTTGCAACCAATACTGGAATTGGATTAAGGCACACTATACTGAAGTTGTATTTTTGTATCAGATGTATGCTCTCACACCCTCATTCCTTATATATTTATTCATAACATGACTTGTATATTAGGGGTGTAGGGAGGGCAAAGTAGAGGGGGCGGATCAGAAATCTTGACTCGCCCCCGCCAGAAAACGAAGCAGACCTGACGGGTCCTGTAAATCATAAAGTCTAAAAGCGGAAAAAAAAGTCATGTGAATCCTGTTTAGACCTGTCCCAAACGGGGCGAGGCGGTCAAAGTAGAGGAACAGACTATAAAGTCTTGGTTCAATTAGTTAAATGGGCAAGCCCAACCCATCATAAAACGGAGTGTGGGAGTCAAAGTAGAGGAGCGAGTGTCCGCTGGTGTTTTTAGTAAATAATCACGATTTTAGTTCACTTAAGAGATTAACGAATTCCCAGACTATTAGCGAGCCATAAACCTTAGTTCAACTAGCTAAACGGGTGGATCCAGTTTTGGCACCTCTATTTTTGAGGGAGATGAATTCAACAACATCTTTTAAAAAAAAAAAATCAGATATCCTTTATGCACTACCGTAAAGATTAATTTCTTAAACTGCAGAGATTAATCTCTTAAACTAAACTAGATAAACAATAACCTTTTATTTTGTAAATCAAGTATTTTCTGCATGTAACTGTATAGACTAATTTTCTGAAATCAGCACTATCATTTACCGGTACTACTACTTTGTTTGAATGTGATAGTCACAAATAGAATGATGTAGTATAGAGTAGTACTATTGACAATTTCTATGACTATGACAATTAACAATATAGAATGGATATTAACCTTGACAGTGACTGAATCACCTGTATGTCTGAACTAACAACTCATAGATAGAAAGTGGCGTATTGAATTTTGCAACGTGCATTCAGTACCTTACATTTCCTTATCAATCATATAGCACAGTTGAATTTGAAGAGACACATGCACATGATGATATTGAATCATGACTGGTTACTTATCATATCAACAACCGCCAAGCCAATCCACAGCTGAAAAGTACTAAATTTTGTCACATCCATATGTTGATAATAATGCTACATCAAATACAAGACTTGTCTTGTTCTTGTGTCAAATGTTTGTATGAATTTTGAAAGCTAAGCTTCAAAGTTACTACTATGTGACATGACATGCTAATTTTGTCTCTCTCTTGAGAAAGTTTTATGGTTTGTTGGATTATGTTTTTTGTGATTGAAATGTAACAAAATACTCATATCCACAATAGTAAAATCTTCAACTGAGATTGTTTTAGTATTATCAAAATCAACTCTATTACTACTTTCTAAATACTTGGTGAGTAATTTAATATCATGACTAGTAACATTGAAATTTGAACTAAATTCAGTGATTTGGTTGCAACATTTACTACTTTCTGTTGCTGAAAGTGATCACAGAGGTTCTTCATGATTGATAGAGGAATCACTTATCTATGAAAAATCAAGAATTTTTTAATTGAAGCTGAACAAAGAATTCATAGTAGTTGTTTTGAAAATGAAATGATTAAATACACACAAATATAATATGTGGGACAAAATAAAGGAAGCGATATACTAAACTTGCACTACAACAAAATATAAAATATAGATTCTTTAATGAGTTTTCACCTAGGTTGAATATTGGACCGAGATGAAAACAATGGAGTTAATAATTCCCTTGGTTGGACATTGTAACCTATATAAAAAATAAATGATTGCACAACTTTGAAGTATCATTATTTTTAAAATGGTAAAGTACCGCTACCGGATACACTTATCGTATTCGTGATTTTTTTTTTAATTATTCGTTTTTGAGTGAAATTTATGGTTTTTTCAAATATTGATATAATATATTTATGTATTTAATTTTTTCGTTAATTTATCTTAACATTTTTTTTTATTTTTTTATTTTTTATACTGATGTTTTGTTATAAACTTAATAATTTAGTTATCTATTCATACATTTTATAAAAAATATTTATTTCATATTAATATACATATATGTGTCTCTTAGTTTTTTTTTTAAATGTCGTATCTCATACCAGTATCGGTACTTGCACCGGTACCGTATTTGTATCTATGTATTATAGTTGAGCAATGATGATCGAGGTGAAAAATGTCAAATGTCCTTTTGATTCACATATTGACTGAGGTGATAAGTTATTTTCAGTCTGAGTAGTGGTTTGATGTGAAAAGCTATACACTTACCATAACACCTTACATTACTTCGGAAGTCCAACCTATGTGAAAAGTTTATTCCAACCAATGTGAAAAGTGTTTTATGTAGTGAGCCTTTACAGGATTCGACGTGTACCTGCTTACAAGACTTACTGCATATGTTATATCAGGTCTAGTGCAGACCATAGCATACATCAAAGAACCTACTATATTAGCATATGAGATGCTACCCGTATAAGCTCTTTCAACATCAGTATTGGGACACTGATCTATACTCAGCTTGAATTGTGGATTTGTTGGAGTCACAACAGACTTCAAATTCGACATACCAAACTTTTCGAGAATCTTCTGTAGGTATGCCTCTTGAGATAAGCATAATTTTGAATGCTTTCTATCTTTCGAATGTCAATCCCAAGAATCTTGGACACAACTCCCAAATCCTTCATTTCAAACTCCTTATTGAGTTCATCCTTCACCCTCATTACATCTTCGACATTGTTGTTTGCTATGATAATATCATCAACATAAAGCAACAAAATAACAAATGAATTTCCAGGACGAAATGTGAAGTAAACACAATTGTCGAACTGACTTCTAATGAAACTTATGTGTTCCATGATGTGATACGGTGAGAGAACTGACTTGGGTGTTTTACATTTGATCGCAAATGTTACGGTTAGCAAGAGTCGCCACTGACTTTTCTTTTATCCAAAAGGAAGGGTGAAAAAGCATAGGAAAGACCTTTGAGATTGTTTCTTGAGTTTGGGGGTAGTGTAGCGGTAGCAATGTTCAAGACTAAGCCATTGGATTGACTAGACTTTATACAAATCAAAATAAAAATCGCCACCGCGCTTTATTGTTTCCAAAGGAATGAGAAAAGAGCGAGTAACCCAAAAAAAAGGGAAAGATTCAAGGTAAGGGGGTTGGTTATGCAAAGGAAAGGTATTAACACCCTAAACATCTATGGTACTCCGCAGGAGCCTCTTTGTAAAATCTGTATATTTTGGCTATAAAAGTGTGTTGTATATAAAATGAATGCTGGAGGTGAGAAAAGAAATATATTTTTATGATTTTTGCACCCGCCGCGGTTGCGAACCTTTAGTGCCTACGTACCACCTTTCGTGCAATAGGGGATCAGGGTACACATAGTTCCTCTTTTAAAAGATTTGAAACATAAGTGTGTTGGTTAATTTTAAGAGATAAGACATCATCGTCATTGTCCGTGTGGAAAACATACTTACTACCCACAATTATGAGAAAGGAGAATTTGCATCATCTCAAAGTGGAGGATATGTCCTGGATCTTAAAATCAACAATGCCTCACTCAACACCCAAGTGGAAAATATCTCTCTTTACTATATATTATAGAAGTATAGTTGTTTGCATCACTACAAGGCACTACGCCAAAAATAAGTTTTAGCAGCACATAAAAGAAAGCGCTTTTGAAAAAAAACGCTGCTGTAGGTTTTAAAAAAAATTTCGCTTAAAAAAGCGCTTTCAAAAGGTGTCTTAAGAAAGTTCTTTTCAAAAGCGCTTCTAAAGGTCACCCTTAGAAAGCGCTTTTTGGGAAGCGCTGCTAAAGCTGGCCTTTCAGAGGGTACCTTAAGAAAGCGCTTTTCAAAAGCGCTGCTAAAGGTCAGCCTTAGAAAGCGCTTTTCCAAAGCGCTGCTAAAGCTGGCCTTTAGAAAGCGCTTTTAAAAGCGCTGCTATAGGATATGCTACAAAAGCGCTTTTTGATGTAAATGCGTTGTTATAGATGACCTTTAGAAATCGCTTTAAAAGCGCTTTCGTAGGTAGTTTTATAATAAATATCAAAACACAATTCGTATCACTTTTCTATTCTCAATCAGATTTTCTTCACGAAAAAACCCTAAACCAGAGCTTCTACGGCGGTCAACGGCGCTCCACTTCTCCGGCCAACTGCAATTCGTATCTAGTTTCATTTTTTTCCTCATCTCGTATGTGATTGAAGCTCTCAACCTTTTCCTTTTGTATGAGCAATAATCCAGTTTATTTTCCTTTGCCAATTTTCGATTCGTGTATGATAACCAGCCAATTCAGAATAGCTTTCCACATATCACAAGTTATAGTACATGTGAAGAACAACTGATCAACGATTTCTTCAGCCATACCACACATGTTGCAGCTACTATCCAAAAGCATACCAAATCTTTTGAGTCTTTCCTTAGTAGGAAGATTACCATGGCAGAGAAACCTTAAAGTGATTTTTGTTTTAGGTCTGGCCATGTTATGATTAAGAACTCTCCTCAAAGGCACTCTACTCTGATCATCTATCAGGATCTTGTAAATTTGCTTCATAGAAAATATCCTGTTAGTGAGCATTTGTGTCCACTGTGTCTGCATTGCTTCCACAAAGCTCTTTTGTTTTAGAATTTTTTCATGATCCAAGTCCAGTTGATACCAGCTTCAGCCTCCATAACATCTTTCCCTTTTTGATAATTTGTGTTGATCCATTTAACCCATATATTATCACTCTTGTTGCTAAATATCCAAAGGCTTTTCACCAAAGACGCTTGATTCCAAACAGCCCAATTGCTCAGACCTAAGCCACCTTGATTGGTTGGACTGCAAACTTTAATTCAAGCCACATGGCTTTTCCTA